GAGAAAATCTTAAAAATAATGGGCGTGTCAGTCCTAAATTTAGGACTCCTAAATTTTTGCTCTAAGAGTATTTCACAAAGCCTTTTAGCGCTAAAACTAGCTCCTAAATCTGTGGAACGTTAGGAGTAGTGAAGAGGACTCCTAAGTCACTAAGACCAAACCACAAACTAGGCCTATCCTCCCTGCTGAAGAAAACAATAGAAACCATCACAGAAATTCTAATGGTTTCCACTACAAATACCATTACAAACATTACAAACCATCAACTTTTAACCATTAAAATAATAAAAAAAATGTTTCCTGTACTGTGTTTTGGGACATGTTCCATTAGTGGTTTTAACAAGCCAACAATAGAAGGCGACCAATTACCAGTAGAGACCAACAGGCACCATTACAGTTACCATTAAAACCAATACAATTCCCATTATAACCAGTAAAACCATTAAAAATACTGTGATGGTTTCTATTGTTTTTTTCAGCCGGGCTAAAATGGCTATTGCCAGCAATCTGCCTCGAAACATAAACATTTTAGAAACATGCTGCATTAATTTGCACACATATGTTTTCCCATGCATTTATTTATTTATTTTGGTTTTGGAGGTTATCCCAACTCCAAATTTTCCTTTGATTATATCCTTTTCATTAACAAGTTGGGCAAGAAGTAACAGCTGTTCTTGCGTCCAGTTTGGTTTTCTTCTTACTATCAGCCATGATTATTCTACTCTGTTAATTAAAAGGCTGTTCATATGCATATTCACTAATTGTTTACGAGGAGCACACATGTAAGAGGCTGACAATTAGCTGAACATATACTTGTTTAATTAGTGACACTTAACCTGCATTTTTAAACCTTTATTTGAATATGGCAACATAATATTGCACTCTACAATATTTCTATGAATAAATCTCTGACAGAGACCCCTATCAGCCAATCACTGTGTGCACAGTTTGTAAGTATGCTCACATCATCCATAGCAACGAGGTCAACCCCGCCCTTACTCTTAGCTTAAGACTTCTCTCTATTCCTTAGTAAAAGTTTGTCTCAGTAGCTTTGTGAATAGGTTTTAAGAGAAAACTCTTAGCTAAAAACCTTTACTGCTATTTAGAACTCTTAGTGGTAAGATAAAAGGTTTTGTGAATACGGGCCCTGATTTGTAGCAAACCGCATATGCTACTTTTAAGTGTGTGTTTTTTTACACTTGACAGCCATTGGTTACGGTCTACATTTGTTATATGCAAATGAGCAGGTCCAGATGGAATCTGCAAGGTTTTTGCAAATTTTTTGCACATTTTTAAACATGGTAAAATGTGTCAAATGCAGATGAGAAAATTATACTCTATTTGGTAGCTGGACAAATGATCAAATGGACTAGAAAAGAGAATTCTGCATTGGAGATTGTATAAAAACCACAAAAAACAAACAAGATTTTGACTGACATGAGCATGAGTAAATAATTTCCACGTTTTGGGGGTCATTATGTTTGATGAGTGTGAAGTTACCGGCTGTCTGTGGAGGCGAGTCTGTCTCAGTGTTGGCTGTTCTCTCGTTGCGGGGGCTGCCTGACTCCTCGTCTCTCCTCTCTGTGGCCATCGTCCTCTGGATGGTCTGGTACCTGTGATAGGAACCCGAGTATTGCTGTTATTAGTCACTAATATTGGTACAGTACGACTCCCATTGTAAAGTATCTTTTACGAATATTTCTAACCAAACCCCCTCACTTACATAACTCCTTTGCTGCTCGATGGTTCAGTAAAGCTGTGTGCTTTGAGAATAATCTAAATTTGTCATCTACTGCTTGTGGACTATTAAATAAAGAGCATTTAATTACACTCTAAACGGAAACATGATGAAGCACCTATATTTTTGTCCTGTACGTAGGTGGCAAAAGATTGCATGTTTATAAGCCCATGTGAACGTGCTTGGTTTATAGAAAATTGCAGCATTTGACCCAAAAAAGAGATTCATTGGAAAATGAATCATTGGCGTTGAGCATTTTTACAAAGGTTGCTGTAGATTTTACTGTTACATGTGCCTATTTGGTTAAACTACAGCAACAGAGTCAGTCATACTTTGCTAAATACAAACCACTTGATTCTGACCAATACAGTGATTTTACCACAGTTTCAAAAGTTAAAGTAATGCATCAAAATTAAGTGAGGTTTATGCTTACATCTAGAAAAAAAAAATCTCTCAATGGGGTAAGAAAAATACAATTGTTTCCTCTTTGAATTAAGTTTATTTTTCTTACCCCACTGAAAGATGTTTTTTCATGTTTTAAATAACGGCACAAATACCAGTAAACTGACTACTGTAAGTTTTAGTAAATCATGTTGTGTTATTCATTTAAATACTCTCCTCCAATAAATTTAGCATCCTCTGAAAGGTAAACTCCTACAAATGCATATGAAATAAAGTCATCCACAAAAATACCCATGCCCACACTTTCTCACTTCATTTTTTTCGCTTCACGTCTTCAGTAAATCCTGACATTATTTGTTTTTTTTTTGTTTGTTTGTTTTTTTACAAACCCTAAAAGAGGTTTGCATGCTGTTAATAAATCTGGCCCTTAATATTTTGTGTCATTTTGCATCTCAAATGCATCTTGACTTAAAAATACTTATATATTTGCACTGTAAAACAAGACAATAATAATATTAAGTAAGAAAAGAAATTCTAAAACAATGGAAAACAGTTAAATGATAAAAGACACCCATGTTCAATGAATACATCTTTAAAAATGAATAAAACAATTAGTAATAAAAGTAATATAGTTCATTAGCCTAAATGTGGGCTGATTACTGCTGAAACAAGTAGGTGCATTGGTAACATTGCAACATGGCTCATCCAATCAGATCTGAGAGTCAGAGCTAAACAAATTAAACATATGGAGTTGGTGAAACTTCATAAGATGCACCATGAACGCAATTCAACTGATCTGTATTCTAGATGTTTTTTTTTTATAAAAAAAAATAAAAGTGTAAAAATATTGGTATACACACAAAACTGTTGTTATTAAAACACAGTGTTGTTTACCTCCTGTTGAGCTGCTCCATCTGTTGGACGGAACCAGACCTGCGCAGGCCATCCGGCGTGGCTGCGGACGTTGGCCGTTGCCAAGTGGTGGTCCGGTTAATGTGATCCACATAGAACACACGACCGTGACTGTCAATACGGGCCTCCCAGTCTGAGCGTGCCAAACAAAACAAACACACACATTTGAAGCCCAAATCAATATTCTGGTCTGCCAAGTATTTCAAATAAGTCTGATAGCTTAAAAAATGATAGTGGATCTCTCTAATTAAGAAATTATTTACAAAAATCTTCATGCAATTTTTATTATGTGAATGCCTCAAAGATCCCCTCAGTGTAGGATGCTTCAGATTTGACTCATTTTAACATAAACACACACACAAAGCACAGTAGCATGACGAAGTGACAGACGGTCTCGAGTGGGTCACAGAATTACGTTAATCAACACTAAAATCTCACAATGTGGGTTAGTGAGAGTGACACTGGAGATGCTCAAGTCTGATATGAAAGTTGCTTGCGTGTAAGTAGTTGTAGTTTGACTACACAGCTTTGAAATGCAATGAAAAATATGAGGGCAGGCACACCAGGAGAAAGTGATACGTTTGGATCGATTTGAACAATTTCGATTTGCTGCAATATTTTGCAACTTGGAAAGCAACATGCATAAACAGCAATCATTTTTCACAAATGAAGAAATCTATAGACGTTTTCATGAAGTAACATTTTTCTCATAATAACACAATATCTGATGTTTCATAATAGACACAGGACCCCATATTATACATTTTAAATTATACTGGTTAGAATTTTTTTTTTTTTGGAAAATCATGTTTCATTCATCAGTTTATATAATGATTATTTAAAATACAATACAATTAAATAAAAAAGTTACTTTAGCATTCCCATATATATAAATTTATTATAATATATATTATAATATAAATTTATACATTTATTAAATTCAATGACAAATGTATTAATTAAATATATTTTTTTATTTTCCAAGAAAAATACTTTTTATTTTTAAAGTATTTTTAAATTTTAAGTTTTAATAAAAAAAAAAAACACTTTCATTATTTTGATAACCTACAGTATATATAATCCATAGGCAATTCACCTGTAGTGCCTCCATATAATTTGTGAGACAAGACTGTAAATACTGTACATGTGCGTTATTGTACGGCAAAACTTACTCGGTGGCAGTGGCTCGTCTATGGTGGGATAGTGATGTGGGTCGGGCCGCAGGGCGGGCAGCTGGCTCACTGCAGGATGGTTACAAGGCAAAGGACATTCTCCTAAACACACCACAAACATATCTCTTCATAGACACTTTTCTATCACAAGTCCGCAAAAGGGAAATCCAGATCTTTTTTAAATAAAAACACACGATCTATGCATTCTACCAATAGAAGTCTACTCACTTCTGCTGCTTGGTCCAGCTACTGGTGATTCTCTGTTACCCATAATGCCGTGCGGGCTCTGGACGTGACTATCCGGTGCCTCCTCCCACTGACAGCTCCCGTCCCTTGGCTCCCGGCTCTTAGCACCCTGTCCTGTCTCCGCCTCCAATCCCAGAATGCCGTTCACTCTGTCCGTCTCGTCCTCGTCATCCTGTGAGGAAAACACAGTGCTCTCTGACCGCCGTGCGCTGTCTAGAGACGGCGCCCGCACGGGGCCCGAGGCCCTCTGCACCATGTGACTGCAGCACGGCACCGGGCTCAAATCGCACTCGCTTTCTCCTGGTGACCTTTGACCTGTGGTTTGTCCCTCAGCCCCGAGCGGCTGCCCATCTCCGTCGAGCATCTGAATGAGGTCGGAGAGGCGCTCGTGTGAGCGGCTGCGGGGCAGCGTCCTGCGAGGGCCGTTGGGTGTTAAAGCGTGAGGCTCAAGGGTCTCTTCCTCATCTTCCTCTTGTTCTTCTACGCCCTGTGGCCGGTCGGGTTCAGGTCCAGCCGCGTCTCCCGGTTGAGGCTGGGTGGACGGGAGGCTGTGCAGCAGGTGGTGGATTCGGATGTAATGGGAGCGTGGCGTCTCCGCTTCGCCGCAGGCCGAAGCGATGACCGTCTCCAGCTCAGACACGGGTAGGGAACAAGGCCGCGGCTTCCTTCTCGGTGTGGTTCTGATCCTCAGCGAGCAGCCTTCCTCTAGATCCACATCTGGTTCTTCCGAAACCGGTTGCTGTTCTGAGATGGCCTCCTCTTCGACTCCTGCAGGATCTCCTGAAGACTCGGCAGGCCCTTCGGCAAAGGCACTATCATTTTCTGCCTCTTCTTGGGGCGTCTCTTCCACTTCAACGTTGGTCTCTTCTTGCTCCATTTGTTCTCGGCTCTCGGCTGCTGCTGCTTCCTCCTGCTGCTCTGGATGCGTCTGCTGCTCTTCCTCTAAAGGCTCTTCCTCTACAGCTTCTGCTTCGGCTGATTCGACATCCATGGGCATCTCTATAGAAGCCGTTTCTTCATCTAAGGGCAACTCTGGGGCCCCCTGGTCCAAACTCATGGTGTCTTCTGCCTGAGGCTGGACTTGAGCTTCTGCTGCCGCCACTGGTTGCTCTGTACTGAGAGACATGTCCTCATCATCTGTGGAGAGGACAGAAACCTGTGACCTACAAGCACATAATGTATACACGAAAGTACTAGCTTGTAAGCATGCATGATATACTGGTGATCACGTAACTTTTTAATGTTATGAGTGGCCTGATTAGACTAGTATTAGAAGTAATAATATGATGGCCTATTATATTACATAATTACATCACTAGTCAAAAGTTTGAGGTCATATTTTACAATATTACTGTTTTTACTGTATATTTGCTCAAATAAATGCAGTCTTGGTGAGCTTAAGAGACTTAGAAAACATAAAAAAATAATACAAACCAAACTTTTGAATGGTAGTGTATTTTTATAAGGACAATGAGAAAAAGCACAGGATTGGATGAAATGGATTTAATATCAATAATGTAATCAGTTATTATAACATAATATTAAGATAACTGATATGATAAAAAGATACAACACAAAAATTATTATTATTAACAGCTGAAATTTCCATATCAGTCTGTCATGATTGTCTAGAGCTCTTTGTTTAACGTAGCAGACTGTACACTATGAACGTGTTAATGATTTATATTCAATAAAGGTAGATTAAAAATCTGTATTTACCTGGATGGATGGAGGATGTAATCTCAAACCTGAACTGCAGCTGGCCACTGACATGCTCAGTTGGAAGCCTCCGACCCAGAGTGTAGCTGACCACTCGATCACTGTGACAAAAAACATGAACAAACACCTCAAAATTAGCATTTCAACTCATTAGCATAACAAACCAAGCCCATATTCCAAAATGTTACAAAAGAGCCTATTTTTCTTCTTAAGTTAAGTGCAAGCTTCTTTATCTTTTTGAGCACATACCCGATCGCATGTTTCTCCAGTAATCTTTGCACTGGCATGGACAGCTTGCCTAAAAAACGCTTTATGATGGGTCGGCTTTTGGCAAACTTGTCTTTCACCTCGATCTCCAACACATCCGTGGGCAGAGACACAAAATTAAAGCGCTACGAGCAGGAAATACAAAGACACACAGGAAGAAACAGCAATCATTACAAACAAACCTTGTAACCTAAAGTGAAACAAATTATGTTGGTATCAAACAAATGTGCATTTAAAAAAAGAATGTAAATGCAATGTGAGAAGTCGTCCTTCATCAGAGTTGGATGTTGCTGGTGTAAAAGACACTGCCTTTAATTTATGCAACAAAAGCCAAGAACTAAAAACAAACAGATAAAATGGTCATAAAAAAATACAACCAAATATTCATGTGTTCATATTTGGCATGGAGCTTCACAGTTGTGCTTGTATGGGTAGTTCATGCTTTAAAATATTGATGTTGAAGAAAACAAAAAGTTTTCTTCAATCGACATGCAGTTTAATTTAATTGAACCTATAATAATTAAGGACTGAAATTTAGCGATTATACTACTACTGTTCAAAAGTTTGAAGTCAGTAAGGTTTTTTTTCTGAAATAAATTACTGCTTTAATTCAGCAAAGATGTAGTAAAATGACCAAAAGTGACAGTAAAGACATTTATATTTCAAATAAGTGTTGTTCTTTTGAACTTTCATCAAAGTATCCTGAATAAAAATGTATTGTGGTTTCCACAAAAATATTAAGCAGCACAATTGTTTTCAACATTGATAATAATAAGAAAAATTTATTGAGCAGCAAATCAGCATATTAGAATGATTTCTGAAGGATCATGTGACACTGAAGACTTGAGTAATGATGCTGAAAATTCAGCTTTGCATCACAGGAATAAATTACTTTATAAAACATATACAAACAGTTATTGTAAATTGTAATAATATTTTATACTATTACTGTTTTTACTGTATTTTTATTGTATTTATGTTTTTACTGTATCAAATAAATACAGCCTGGGTGAGCATAAGATACTTCTTTCATAAACATAAAAAAAAATCCCAAAAGTTTCAAAGGTAGTGTATAATGTTTATATATAGTATTATTGGCTGTTTTAGACCAATGATATTGTTTGTGACGCAAATCATACAGTTCCTTTATTTTTCATGAATAGAATTGGTTCTCAATTCCAAGCCCTACAGAGATGACATCCTGTGTAATGAAGATTCGAACAAAATCCTATCTGTCAGTCAACAGGACAGTGAGCTGTATTTGTGATTCTGCAGTGACGCATTAAGTTTATTTGCAGAATAAAGGATTTACATGACAAACTCCATGTGGACTCTGTACAAAGCTCAGAAGGGTAGCGTTGGGTTAAACATCTGTGAATAAATAACGCTGGAATCAAATATTGTTTTGTAAGGATTTTTATATGAGCATGTTTAATCTAGTGTGTGTGTGCGTTTGTGTGCTTCCCATACCTCCCTCTGCCAAACAGGATTAATGGTATTGCAGACGATGCCTGATCTCTTCTCCTGGCCGTGGTGAGGCAGGGCAGGGAAGATGCTGTGCTTGCCGGGGTGGATGGCAATCTTCAGGTAGGGGTCGGGGTTAAAGAACATGCCTTTCTTTAGCCCAGTGGCCTGGAAATCTGCCCACAACATAAAAACAGAGAGATGAATGAGAACAGAACAGAGCAAAATACAACTGAATTAAAACAAAACGGCACAGAAAGACACATCAGAATATAAAAGAAGAGAAGCAAGCACAATACAGTACAATAGAACAGACTATAACAGAAGAGAATAAATCAGAAAAAAAACAGGTACTGAAGAGAACAAAACAGAAAAATAATATTCAAGAGATTAAAACAGAACAAAATAGCATATAACAGAGTCAAATAAAACAATAAACAACAGAAGAGAACAAAACAAAACTGAATGGAACCAAAAAAAACAAAATAAAACAAACAAAACAGAATAGAACAAATAAACAAAACAAAGAACAGAACAGAACAAAAACAAAACAATAACAGAATAAAACATACAAATATAGAACAAATAAACAAAGAAAAACAGAATAGAACAAAATAAACAAAACAAAACTGAACGTTCCAAAATAAACAGAATGGAACAAAAAAAAAAAACAGAACAAAGTAAACAAAACAGAATAGAAAAAACTAAACAAAACATAATAGAACAAAATAAACAACAGAAAACAGAAGAGAAAAAAACAAAACAGTACACAACAAAACAGAATATAACAGAAAAAATGGAACAGAAAAAAACAATTGCAAGTAACGAAACAGAATGGATTAAAATAGAACATAATATAAGAAAGAAAAAAAACAACAACAGAATATTACAGAATAGAACATTTCATTATATAATGTGATGACCAAGACCAAATTTGCATCTTAAAAATCTCAAAATTGCTCTCCAAGATGAACACCATTAACCAAAAAGCACCTTGTGGAAGAAACATGTAATTGGGGTAAATATGTTCCTATAGTTTACAGCAGACTGAAAGCAGTGGATCAATCATGAAATCCTCTGGAGACACTAAATATAGAAGCCTCATAAATATTGATACATCTTAATGGCTGTCTGGTCATGCCAATTTTTACACAACACAAACCTGAGAGAGAAAAGCTGATGAGTCTTCTGCTGCCTTGACTCTGAGGTAAGTCATCTGTGGCTACCGGCTTAAACACCTGAAAGCAGAAAGTTCAGTGTAAAATGTCTTCAATTTCACTGGAACCAGTAAACACCTTTCACATAATATCAGCAGCAATACCTGATCAAAAACTACAACAGAACATTTATTCCCTTATATGTTTTGGGCAAACAGTGCTGTATGCGTCACAACATTATATGAGGCAATCTCTGAGTTCTCACCAAAAAACAAACAAAAAAAAAACCTTGTAATTTTGTTCCCCATTGCACACAATAAAATAAATGACAATGTAAATGGTCAATTTAAAAAGGTAAGTTTAAAAATGTGCCACAGCAACTAAGATTTCCTTTTGTAAAAGACCTTTTGACTTGACTCAATCATGTCAGACTTCATCATTTTTCACGGCAACTCTTTATAATGCAACCAACCAATAGGCTAGCCATTTTAAATGGGATGAATGTATTGCTGACACTGGACAGGACAGAACAAGACAAAAATGAGAAAGATTCAAGGATGTTTAAGTCTTTTTGAAATTGAATGATCACAAAAATAAAATGTTTAATGTAAATAAATGATGAACATACAGTGGGTTTGGGCAAACAGTGCTGTATGCGTCACAACATTATATGAGGCAATCTCTGAGTTCTCACCAAAAAACAAAAAAAAAAAACCTTGTAATTTTGTTCCCCATTGCACACAATAAAATAAATGACAATGTAAATGGTAAATTTAAAAAGGTAAGTTTAAAAATGTGCCACAGCAACTAAGATTTCCTTTTGTAAAAGACCTTTTGACTTGACTCAATCATGTCAGACTTCATCATTTTTCACGGCAACTCTTTATAATGCAACCAACCAATAGGCTAGCCATTTTAAATGGGATGAATGTATTGCTGACACTGGACAGGACAGAACAAGACAAAAATGAGAAAGATTCAAGGATGTTTAAGTCTTTTTGAAATTGAATGATCACAAAAATAAAATGTTTAATGTAAATAAATGATGAACATACAGTGGGTACGGAAAGTATTCAGACCCCCTTAAATTTTTCACTCTTTGTTATATTGCAGCCATTTGCTAAAATCATTTAAGTTAATTTTTTTTCCTCATTGAAAAATTTAAGGGGGTCTGAATACTTTCCGTACCCACTGTACGTTCTCAAGTGTGGAGAAAAATAATTTGCTGTAGAGTTTGTAAAAATGCATTCCTTTCACATGCAGAAATAAAATGTTAATAGTTCACCCACATAGGAAAATGATGTCATCGTTTACTCACCCTCATGTTGTTCCAAACTTATAAGACTTTGGTTAAACTTTGAAACAAAAATTAAGATATTTTTATTGAAACCTGAGAGATTTCGGTCTCTCCGCTGAAAGTCTAGGTAACCACAACTTTGAAGATCCAAAAATGTCATACAGGCATTGTAAAATGAATCAATATGAATCAAGTGGTTTAATCTAATGAAGTCTTATGAAGAGATACGATTGTCTTAAAGGGGTCCTATTATGCTCTTTTACAAAGTCTTGATTTTGTTTTGGGGGTGTACTAGAACATGCTCTCATGCTTGGTGGTTCGAAAAACGCATTATTTTTCACATAATTTACATTATTAAAATACCTTTCTCCCCAGGCTGGCACAAACGGCTCGATTAGTTCCGGCTTTGCAGATTTAATTTATTCTTTTATTTACATCTAAACAATGAGGTTCGTTTCAGCGTGTGTTGCTTCCGTGTTTACCATATGTGATGTGCTCTATGTATGTGTGTTTATAAGTGAATACAAGCCTAAATTAAAATTGCTCATTATATAAAGTGATCATATCTCTTTACAAGACTTGGATTAAGCCACTCAATTCATATGGGTTAATTTTACATACTTTTTGTGACCTTTTTGGATCTTCTAAGTTTTGGTTCCCTGGACTTTCAATGGGACAGAAACCTCTCATCTTAATTTGTGTTTTGAAGGTTAACCAAAGTCTTAAGTGTTTGAAATGACATAAGGGTGAGCAAATGATGTCAGAAGCTTCATTTATGGGTAAACTCACACTTTAAGGTCACCATAAAGGCCTGTGTCTTGGAATTGGTACACTTTAGCTTTAAGAAACAAAAAGAGAGTTTGGCTGACTCTGTGGCTATGGAGGTAGGCCTGTATTAAGCCACGAAATGATAACCTGAGATTATCTGCAGCATTAATCCTCTGAGAAACAGATGGCACAGACTATTCTGCTCTTGAAAAACTCTTGATGAAACGTGACGAAAGAAAAACAGCAGCATTCTCTACACATCTGCAACATGATGCAGCAGCACTGTACACATGCGTCTGTTCCTCACCACTGCTCAACTAAAGACATGATGTCTGGAGATTTAAGCATGACTCAAAATAAAATATGAACACGTCTTTTCTTTCGCTCACCGGTGCGGAGGGGTTCTTCACGGTCACACATGGCGTTGTGGCCCGCAGGGCTCCACTCACTCCATGATAATATTTAAAACAGATCTTAGTCTCCGCTGAAAAAGAGCCAAGCACAGGAAAAGGTCACAGGGAGAAACTTTTTGCAGATTTTACATATTCAAATTTGTTTTCTCTTTCAGATACGCATAACTCATCTATTCATGTGGGGCTACTAAAATACTGTCTAGAAGATAAACATTTCCACCCTATAAATTACAAATTCTGTCATTGACTAGAAATAGCAGGTAGCCAAACATTGTCTGTGTATCATTTGTACTTTATTTCAGGCCCCTTCAATCCATTTCCACCAGGCTGGAAGGAAGTGTCTAGAAATAATCGTGACTGGTTTCATTCATAATAAAAATAGCTGAATGTGGTTGTCAAATAAAAAAAAAAAAGGGGCCCCTGACTATGTCCCACCCCAACTTCCTCTTTACGAATAGGAAATAAAATACTGTGACAGAAGAAATCTTGCTTGCTATTTGAGAAATAATGGCCTGAACTTATATTTTTAGCATTAAAAATAATATAATATTTAGGATTAATTTTAATATATTTAAATTTTAAATTTATAGGAAATACAAAAATAATCCTCACAAACTGTATGACATCTGGGTAATTAGAATGAAGTAGATCAATCCCAAAAAATATTCATCAATCTTGAAACACCATGAACATCCTCAAATAAATAAAATGTAACATTCAGTTAAGATCTTGAGAGGGGCCTTATGATTTCCATAATGTGGAAAATGCAGATGGAATTGTATAATGGAGTTATAAATTTACCGTATAATGCAGAATGTCACTGAAGTTTTGGATTAATTGGATTAAGTGAGGCTGGACAATTAATAAAATTAAAATTGCAATATGGACTAGTGTCTTTGATTATTAAACTGCAAAAAGACTGTTATTTAAAGGGGACATAGCACACACAGTTTCTCATGTTAATCTTGAGTACCTATAGTGAAAAGTGAAAGTGACGTGACATGCGGCCAAGTATGGTGACCCATACTCGGAATTAGTGCTCTGCATTTAACCCAGCCTAAGTGCACACACACAGCACTGAACACACACACACACCGTGAACACACACCCGGAGCAGTGGGCAGCCATTTTTGCTGCGGCGCCCGGGGAGCAGTTGGGAGTTGGGTGCCTTGCTCAAGGGCACCTCCGGCGTGGTACTGAAGGTGGGAGAGAGCGCTGTACATTCACTCCCCCCCACCTACAATCCCTGCCGGTGCGAGACTCGAACCCGCAACCTTTGGGTTACGAGTCCAACTCTCTAACCATTAGGCCCAACTTCCCCACAAAATAGAATAGTATTACATCCTTCGTTTCATTTACAGTACATTTACATTTAGTCATTTATCAGACGCTTTTATCCAAAGCGAATTACAAATGAGGACAATAAAAGCAATCAAAACCAACAAAAGAGCAATAAAATGCAAGTGCTATGACAAGTCTCAGTTAGTATATATATATATATATGTCTGTGTGTGTGTGTGTGTGTGTGTATATGTATATATGTATATACACACACACATACAAAGAAAACAAGGAGATAGAATAGAAAAAGAATATAGAAAGCTAGTGAAAGCTAACGCGCCAACATAAAGCGTTGTTGTGCTATGGATGGCCCGAGTTCGAATCCCGGCTTGTGGACCTTTCCTGATCCTGCCCCCACTCTCTCTCCCACTTCGCTTCCTGTCATTACACTGTCCTATCTAAAATGCCAAAAAAAATCTTTAGAAATACCCCATCATACGTCCAACTAATTTTTTTAAACTTTGGCCATGTTTTGCATGAGAATCCAATTCTTTTAACAGTGTAAATAAGTCAGAATGTATGAAATAGCATTTGACATCCCCTTTAAATAAAGTTTTCACTACACACTGCCAAAATAAATACTTGAAAGAAATTATGACAGACATGTATTACTATTTATAAGGCTTTTTTCATTTGATTACATTGTAAAATATTAAATAAATTGCTAACATTTTATGATTTCTGTTTACATGTTTATAAAATTAAAATGTAATTAGCCTATCAAAATTGAATCCAGAAATATTAAAATGCAAACATAATTTAACATAGTAAATGAAAGAGAGTTGATTTTGCTGACATGTTCTGCCAAACCATCGTGCTCTAGTGGGCGATGTGAGTTTGAGTCTGTATGTAGGCACCATAATATCAAAGAGGTGGCCTCTGTCCACTGGCCCACGGCCCTTGGGATGCCATTTTCTCTCTAGTATCCATAACAGTAAAAATGCCAAAAAGAAATGAGAAAAAAGCAGCAGCATATGAGCCATATGGCCTTGCAGTGAGCTTTCTGGACTGTCCAAGCAAAAACAGCGTAGCCTGATATAACCTTCAAACAGCTTTATATTAATACAAGCACACAGGAATGTTTTCATGAGACACGAGAAGTGTTTTCACGTGCTAGTAGAATGTCACACCTGAGCAACCCTCTACATTGCGAGTAAATCACTCGCATATGCGACTAAATCTTCACTCTGGGCGACTAAATGATGTCTAATATTAGCCAATGGCTAATAAATTCTCAGATTTTACTCGCCAGTGTGTGAGTTGGAGGCTGAGTATAGCAGCTTTTAAGAACTGCCGGGTTTTACTGTAGTAGGCGGAACTAATGCGCAAACGACAATCTCATTGGCTGGCGCTCGCCTATTATCGTCCCTGTTTTGATTTCAGCGAATCAGTTCGAGCAAACGCACACAACCTGATTAATATTCATGAATCCAGTAGCTCATTAATCCTTAGTGCGTTTTTATATTGTTCTTATTAGTAGAATTCGTATAATAATAATAATAATATCTTATCAGTATTATTGTTCGTTTTTTTTTTTTTACAGGAACACTGAATGACCAAAAAAAGCACCAGCACCAGTCCTAAGTTCATGGTTACCAAGTTTTAATTCTAATTACTAAACTTCTATTATTAAATAATACTTGATTATCATATTATAATGCTTGACTGCTTGACTGACTGATATTAAGAGTGTACTTTCAGATATTTAAAAAGCTGTACCATTTTACAAACATTATATATGTTTGTAAAATGGCATAACTTATATATATATATATAGTATAGTATAGTATTTCAGTCTGGCGAGTAAACAAAAAAATGTACTAGCCAATGGCGATTCAATTGCCAAGGTGTCCGTAGAGGGTTGCTGAGTGAATTTCCCTTCACACCTCATATCTGAAACATCATCAAACAAATAGTTAGCATGGAAGTGGTTTGCTTTGGGGTGTTTGTTACCTTAGCAGCCATACAAAGTCACAAACAACCTTAAGCAGCTCTAATGGCATCCTGTGTGTGGGAAATAAGTGGCTGTAACACTGTATCATTTAACAAGCATGCTTTATAAAAATGCACATACGTTCTACGAAGTAGGAGCTGGCCTCGATCTTCCAGACGATCTGACCTTTGTGGGAGCCGTTCACACCTCTGTTCTTGTAGTCCAGAAAGTTCTCTGACAGAACCTCATCTAAGAGAAATAGAAGAGAAAAGCCTCTTATCTTATTCTTTATGTCGTACAGAGAATCACATCTTTGATTATTCATTCACGACAGCTTTAAAAAACGAGAAAGCTTTTGACTCTTTAAAAGACACATACTCTTTAAGGCTCAAATTCAAGACAAAGAGCATTTAACAGCCTTTAAAGGCCATCTGAGAACCTTTATGACACCAGACACACGTGACACATCTATATTGCTACTATTGTAATCCACAGAGCTGTCTACAGCAGAAGTGTGTGGTCTTCAGTTGACGGACAACCTGGTACTATTTTTCTGTGCTGCAGAGCTACTCCAGTCACTTTATTTTTCCCTGTCTATCTGAAATACAATGACATTATATATAATGCAAATATCACGTTTTTTATGTTTAAATAAAATATATGATTTTTACAATTAATTTCATTTGTTATAAATAATTTAAATTACCAATCAAAATTAAGATTTTTAAAATGATTTTAAAAGTCTTTTATGTTATGTTATGCTCATCAAGGCTGCCTTTATTTGATTAAAAGACAGTAAAAACAGTAATATTGTGAAATATTATTACAACTTTAAAAAAATATTATATTATATTTTAAAATTTAATTTATTTCTGTGATCAAAGCTGAATTTTAAACATCATTACTCCAGTCTACAGTGTCACATGATCCTTCAGAAATCATTCTAATATGCTGAATATGCGAGAAACCAAATGGTGTATGTTACGTTAAACATCAAAATCTGTTTGTATGGAATTTTATTTCCGCCTCAGAGTAAAAAAAAAAATATTATTGTTAATTGCAAGAAGTTTAACTTAAGAAATTAAAATGTCACTGTGAGATATAATGTTGCTATTGGCAGAAATAAACTGCAGTAATTCTAAGACACAAATTCTGAGAAATAAAGTCGCAATTAAGAGTTGCAATGACTGTTTTTAACTTTACTGAGCTGGAAACAGGCTTTAAAATATCTTGCAATGTTTCATTTTTGTTTCTAATTACATGCACATGCGGTAGAAAACCATCTATGTACTAGTGCTCTAAAAAACCCAGAAACCAAATACACCGTTCTGAAGAATCTATAATGTAACATCAAGAACTTACAGCCAACATAAACCACTGTTTAAAAAAAACTGGGGTCAGTAAAAAAAATATTTTTAAAGACTGTAATACTTTTATTCAGCAAGGATGCATTAAATTGATCAAAAGTGACAGTACAGACATTTATAATGTTACAAAAGAAAAATTAACTTTTTTCCTCAAAAATAATAACCAGCACATCTCTTTTCAACCTTAATATATGCTTATAATAATCAGCATATTAGACTGATTTCTGAAGGATCATGTGACGCTTGTTAAGACTGGAGTAATGATGCTGAAAATTCAGATTTGATCACAGAAACAAATTACATTTCAAAATATATTCAAGTAGAAAACAGTTATTTTAAATTGTAATAATATTTCACAATATTACAGTTTTTACTGTAATTTGATCAAATAAATGCAGCCTTGGTAAGAGACTACTTTCGAAAACATTTTAAAAATCTTACCGACCCCAAACTCAAGAATCATAAAACACAACCAAACAGAAACACGCTCACCAATGAGGTACATGCCAATCCAGTCACCCGCGTCCACTTCCTCCTTGATGTCCCAGCTGAGGGTGATGTCCTGCGTCTGGCCGATGGTGTAGCTGGAGGTGCTGATGGTGAGGGTGGAGCGGCAGTGAGAGGTCACGAGGTCAGTGTCGCTGGTGGAGCGCAGCACGGCTGCCGCCAGCTCCTCAGGTATGCCATTCTGGAAGTCCACATTGGGGAACTGCTCAGGGTTGAAACTGTGCCGAATTGGGTCCTTACATCGCCGCCTGCCCTGAGATGTGCGAGATGGAGAGGCCATAGCTGCAAGCCCGAGAAACCTGTTCTGATACAAGTTCTGAGAAAAAAAACAAGAAGGAAGAGTAAAACATGATGAATCCCTCCATTACTATACGCAAATGCTCTTTTGGAGCATATGGTGTGCAAATCCAACCATCAAAAGAACAATCGTGTCCTGGGGGGTTCAGATGCTATTTATTTTATTAGGCATATATCGTGTATTTTTATTCGTTTTGTTAATAAAAGTTCTGAGTTTGACGTTGTTGTTGCTTGAATTGAATCAAAGCAGAATTGCCGCTAATTTGAAAGTGAAAGTAAAACGCGCACGGCGCTTTTTCTAGCTATTTGAAAGCCAAGAAATCCGAGGAAAAGAGGGAAAACTCAAATGAACAACTGCTTGACGCTGAATTGCGGCAATTCAATTTCTGCTAATTTGAAAGTGAAAGTAAAATGCTCACGGCACTTTCATTTGAAAGCGAAGAAAAGAGGGAAACTCAAACGAAATAACACCCCCCACCCCACCCACCCCAACGGTGATACCGGTATTACCGGTGTTGTCACGCATCGATTAACCGGTGGGAAAATTTCCTCACCGTCACAACCCTTGTTTGAGGAGGGAGAACAGCACATGAGATGCTAAATGTTACCTACAGGGGGTCGAGAGGATTGTTCTATAGTGCAAGACATGACGATGTTAGAAAATGGGTGCATGCTGAATAAGCAAGGCGCACACGTGCTTAACCAGAACGATGTGAGCACAAGACAATGGCAATGTGGAGAATGAATTTAGGTTGCATGAGTGCTATTATCGTTAATCAAACAAAAAAAATTAATCTAAATGAAATGAAAACATTTGTTAACTGAAATAAAATTAAAATAAAACTAATATAATCGGAAGCTAAATACGAAAATAAAATTAGGCACAAAATAAATTACGTTTTTATATACAGAATATGCAGTACATTTTTCAATTTCATAACCTATAACATGAAAATAGCACTGGACAACACTAACAATAAAACTAGATGGTCTTCAGATATTAACTGTCACTATTTAAATTATATTATTTGACATAAATGACTGAAATAGCCAGGATACACTACAGCTCAAAAATTAGGGGTCAGAAAGATTTTATTTTTTTGTAAGAAAATTCTCACCAAGGCTGCATTTATTTGATCAAAAATACAGTCATATTGTGAAATATTATTACAATTTAAAATAGCTGCTTTCTATTTGAATATATTTTAAAATGTAATTTATTCCTGCGATGCAAAGCTGAATTTTCAGCATCATTACTCCAGTCTTCAGTGTCACATGATCCTTCAGAAATCATTCTGATATGCTGATTTGTTGCTCAAGAAACATTTCTTATTATTAATGTTGAAAACTTTAGTTGTGCTGCATAATATTTTTCTGGAAAATGTACTTTTTTCAGAATTCTTTGATAAACAGAAAGTTCAAAAGAACAGCATTTATTTGAAATATAAATCTTTTGTAACATTCTAAATGTGTCTTTGCTGAATAAAAGTATGAATTTCTTATAAATAAACGTACTTTCCCCAAAATATGATACGGTAGTGCATATGATATAAAAACTACATTCAAAACTATATAATAGTGTTAAAAATAACAGTTGTGAGAAAGTGGAGTATTCAGGAAAAACAACACTTTAGATCGGTACATCTTTGTCACATGACCTCACTCCCTGCATGTTTAATTCAGTGAGTGATGTCCTGTCTCTAATAATTGATTAAATATGAATGTAATGTAAATCCCAGAAATAAACAGGGTTATTTAGTCCCTTTGGAAATGGAAGGCTGTGTTCTGGCTAAACAAACGATTTACAGACATTAGGTTTCATGACTTCCTCTCCCTCCGTCTCTGTTCACACACTAGCATGCATTTTCTCAAGATAGCATTTCCTGCATGTCACTGCTCTGAAAGAGCAAGAGGCAGTCAAGCAGCAAAAAGCAGACGTGGCGGGACCCTCGCAGACGCATGTGTAGCATAAACCACAGGCCAGGGCATATGCGTCTCTGTGGGACGCCAAGATCTGTGTGGGAATCAAACTGGGTCTTGTGGTTTTCTGTGCAGTAGAGATGGGTTAAGGTGATCGACTAGTCATCCAACAACTGCTTAATCAATTATCGAGGTCAACCGAAGAGTTTATCTAAATTTTCTTTTGTTCTTTCTTTCTTTCTTTCTTTTTTTTAGCAGTATTGTTTTAGTTCAAACAGCACAGCATGGCGACACCAAGGTCATTAATCCAATTCCCATGGACTGTATGAATTGAAAAAATTTGAACTTGAACGCAATGTAAGTCTTGGAGTGTCTGGCCAAATGCATAAATGTAAGTGTTAAAGGAGATAAATTTAGAGACAAGGCTTTCCCAAACATGAATACTGCATGTACAATGTAGGCCGGTCTACTGTACATGCTAAAATGTGTTTGCAATAAATTCAACACCTTCAACCATTTTAAAAAGTCAAGATAATTACTATTATTTTTTTTCAATGTAAGAGTTTGTTATTTGTTTGTGATTTAACATCATGCCTACCATGGCTTTCATGATGTAAATAAGGTAAAATAAAAATAAAAAAAAACATTTCACAAAGTTTAAAAATAAAATGATAAAATCTATCTCTGGCAAAAAAAAAAGTGTGGCGAGTAAAATACTGTATAGTAACTCGATAACTGGTATAACGGCAACATAATATATGATGTCATGTTTATTGCATCTTTTAATGACTTTTAGGAAGAAACTAACATTTTGTTTTTCCACAGAACACACAGTCTGCTTTTATACAAAAAACTACTGTAACATTTTTTAATTTTCATAACCCATAACATCAAAATGGCACTAGATCACACTATCAATAACACTGCATTAGGGGTCAACCGATTATTGGCACCAATAATAAGCATTTTTATGGTTATCTGTATCGGTCATTTTCAAAACTAGTTTGCCGATAAAGTAATTTAAAAGCATTTAAAGAAAGTTTTTGTCAGAGACCTTGTTATTCTTAATTTTGACATTAATTTTCATTTTTACCCCAGACATATATCGGTTAAAAATATCGGTTATCGGTCTACTTGATCTGTAATAATCAGTATCTGCATCGGCCCTGAAAAACACATAAGCTATCGGTCGAACCCTACACTACATGGTTGGTAAGATATTTTTATGTTTTTGAAACTGATCTAAAATGCAGTACCGTATTGTCCCGAATATAAGACGATGTTTTTTTCTTGGAAATACATCTGAAAAAACGCGGTCATCTTATATTCAGGGTCTAGACTTTGACATGTCAATAATACACCCACAACAATAGGTGGCGCCAAAACCACATAAAATGAGTGTGCCATGAAATACGTAATGTAATGCGTGTTGTAAAGAGCGCAAGTAAAAACAAAAGAAGCAGAAAACCTTAAAGCTGCATGAGTCGTGACTGTCGCGTTAGCCTGATGGCACCAAACTCCCTTTGTGATTTTAAAACGTAAGACAGTACCCAGATTTGAAGACTACAGTAAGATTTAACTTCTACTGTTAATAAGATTTTGGCAGGCTACTATTAGATGGATAGCCTAAATGTCCTAATTCAGATGGGCTACCTGTTTATTTTTTATTTTTTATTTTTTTTATGGTATATCAAAAAGTGTATATTTTTTAAATGTGATTGTTGGTACATTTTACCAGTTTTTACCATACTTTCAAAACAAAAATTAAAATAGGAAAAATATGCAATATGAAAATAATTGAAGACAAAATGTGTTTTACTGAGAAAAAACAAGATTTGGTTTTTAAAAAGCCTTTTTCCAAAAGGTACATCTGGAAAAAGGGGGGGTCGTCTTATAATCAGGGTCGTCTTATATTCGGGCCAATACGGTAATATTGTGTAATATTATTACAATTTAAAGTAACCATGTTCTGATTAAAATATCTTGTTTGTGATTTAAAACCATTCCAGCTACCACTGCTATTATCATAACAAAAACATTTTAAGTTTAAAACCTATAAGTTTTCAAATCTATCTTTGGCAAAAAATTAATGTGTGGTGAGTAAATACTGTTTACCCGAGTAACTCGATAACTTGGTATAAATGCAAGATAATACATGATGTGTCAGAACAAAATCATAGCAATATTTTTTGTGACAAATGCAGTCTTGAGTGACACAATGACCTGCAGTGTTTGTCGCAAAACAGGAAAAGCAACTAAAATTTATCAGTTACTATATTACAACCCTGGGGTGAAGTTACCAAACCATTCTGAATCACAGCATAAGCCAAGGCCTCACTTCCTCCTCCTCACTATCCCAGTTTGCATGAAGCCTGCAGTGCAACAAAACTCACACAACATGCACTTGAAGCCCTTGTAAAACTGCACAAGCAAAAGATGTAGTGTAGACAAGGCTAATCCCAGCATTCAAAAACATCCACAAAGGACACGCAGCAAATCCAATTTCACACACAATCATCAGCAGTTTCTGCTTCCTCCATTCAACTGGGCAATCTGGGAAACTTACAGGACAGATCATGCTGGAAAGAGGCTAGAATTCAGACCAGGAAAAACGAACGAGTGAAAAATGACACCTCAGACTGCACCAAAACAAGCAATACATTTCAGAAATACATAACCTATGTGTTCCAATACATTGAGCTTATCCAGCTGCCACGGGTTCCAATCTGGCATTTCCTCTTTCTGTTCCTGTGACTTCAATATTGTTTCTTGATCTCTATTCACTCTTTACTGACAATAAAATCCCTAAGGGCCAAAAATAAACATCTGTCTGCTGTTAAGGAAGATTTGAATTGCAAAATCGATAGCATTTATGGCATATTGCTGATTATCTAAAAAAAAAAAATTACACTACAACTATTCAAAAGTTTGGGGTCAGCAAGTTATTTTTAAAGAAACAAATACTTGCTTGAGCAGAAAATCAGCATATTAGAATGATTTCTGAAGGATCATGTGACACTGAAGACTACAGTAATGATGCTGAAAATTCAGCTTTGCATCACAGGAGTAAATTACATTGTATAATATATTCAACAAAAATGTTGAATTTAAATAATATTTCACAATATTTCTGATTTTACTGTATTTTCCAAATGCACCCTTAGTGAGCACAAGAGACTTCTTTCAAAAGCATTACGAAATTTTAGTGACCCCAAATTTTGAACAGCAGTGTAATAATTTAAAACTTCATTTCCATGTCAATGTAAAGCCTAAAGTGACCATTAATTGTCCCTAAGTACAATGCAAAAAGTTGTAAATAAAACAAAGATTACTGGAGTCTTACTAAAGTTTTACAATCAAATACTATTTAGTTTTTCTAACTTAGTGTGTTATTTGCCATGTCTTTGTAATTATTTGTGAAATTTACTAGTAGTGAAAAATATCTTAAAAAAAATTACTTCTATTTTAAGTGCCTCACTGTTATGTGAGGATGTTATGTTAAAATTATGGAATTATGCCACAAATGCGTAACCTGAATCTGGAATGTTCCATTTGTTGCAGAATATAATTTTATGTCGACTGGCCAAAGATTGTATGAAATTGCATTGCACTGAACTAAAAAAATGCATGTATATAAGGCATGAAAACAGACGAGAATTCGGTCAGGGCTTCATCTGCCGTGATTTCCTGGCCAATGCAAGAAAGTCACCGCAGGGCAGAGGGTCAATCGCAGCACAGCAATATCATTAGCAGACCTCCAGTGGTGCGGACACACGTGACCCTCGTAAAGGTTAATGAAACGGCAGATAACAATTTTTCTAATGAGGTCACTGCTTTACTCCTTTTTGTTGACAGAAAATAGTAGGAATGCAAATTCCGATGCTGATTGAATCATTGTGACACGCCGAAACAAATCGAATCTTCCACTGGGCGCGTTTGTGTTTACAAGATGAAAGGAAGCTTTAACAATGCACCTTGCAATCACACTGACACAGATAAATTAATTATAATCATTAAGGCCCCGGGGACAGGCTCCATTAAATACCACTGTGTGTGTCTGTGTCTCGCGCAGGATGAGATGCATTAGCTCGAGCAGCGTCAGGCTCGCCGTGCCAAAATGAAACCCGAGAAACTTAATGTACTTACATAACGGAGTGGGATATTTCTCCCCAGAATACAGAGATCAAGCCACAATTCTGTTAGAAAGAAGATCTGAAGTATGTGATCTCCTCTGTGACGTAGAACAGACTCTAGCATGGCACAGGACACCGCAGTATATCTGCTAACATCTTGCATTTATCCTTAATGGCATAACTACCATGATACTATTTTTGCACCTCGCAGTTTGTTTACCATGAGAAACCTGGCATTGTATACTATGAATATTCCTAGTTTTGTGACAAATTGCTTATACTCTTCTACTGTACAAAAGCATCTGCTAAATGTATAAATGTAAATGCAGTTTTGCAAATTATAACAGGATGCCACTTGCATTGTATACTGACAGTATTGCTGGTTTTGTTCTTCTATATTAAGTCACTTTGGACAAAAGTTAAATGCATATGTAAATGCACTTATACAAATCTGCATGCATGCATAAAAACTAGGAAAAAAGCAAAATAATCATATTTATTTTAGATTAGACTTTAGAATGCATGTAATTATATTTAGATTATATTTTAGATTATAAATATGCCACTAAAAAATGCAATGCTTTGTGACATCAGTTTAGTAGAATTTATTACATACTATTTTAAGTATGTATTTTAATTTTATTATAGCTTTAATATAATAAAATAAATGTTAAATTAAATATATATTCAAAATTGTACATTTTTATAATTATAAAAGGACAATAAATTAATAAATTTTTGGTAACGATTTACAATGAGATCCCATTAGTTCACATTAGTTAATGCATTAACTAACATTAACTAAGAATGAGCAATACCTTTGTTACAGTATTTATTAATCTTTGTTAACATTAGTTAATAAAAATACAACCATTCATAGTTCATGTCAGCTCAGGTCCATTAAACTTTTGATTTGAATAATGTCTTAGTAAATGTAGAAATTAACATTAACTAAGATTAATAAATACTTTAGAAGTACTTTCATAGTTAGTTCATGTTAACTAATGTAATTAACAAATGTTAGCAAATGGAACTTTATTGTAAAGTGTTCCCACATTTTTAACTTATAAGACATACTAATGAAAATAATGTATTATAAAATTACATGATCATAAAATCAGATACAAGCAGACACTCTGGGACCGTATTTACAGTAAATGTCATGTATAAATAAAAACTTATGAAGTCAGTTCACTCAATAACGTCCACGTCATCATGTGAAGGTCGTTCAACGGGAAGCACTTCTGCCTGGAAAGGAACAAGGCCTTTTTTTCCTCTTCTGAAGCTTTTCTGATTTTAGAGCGGATCAATAGACTGCTGGTCTCAGGTGAATCAATACTAATCTACCTCATCTCTGCTCCTCGGCTAAATGATTTCTGCTCTTAACGACTCCTGAGTAATGAACACACGTCCCCAACTAAACACGGACAACCAGCTTATCATCCGTCGCAGACATCAGCTTTTACATCCATTATTTTATTTGCTTGTTTATATTGCTATTGAATTTCATATGGCATCCCTGTTTGAGATGACTTCCATTTGTCACTTGAAGACAGAAAACAGCTTGTTATTTTCCAACGTAAATATTTTCACCAGATTTTAAAGTGCCTGTATTACCATACAGCCACGAACAGTTATATAATCAAAAATGATTATCGACCTATGACTGTCTGAGTTCATCATAACTTCATTTGCATTCACTTAGGATGGAGTTTAGGTGTAGACATTTTAGTAGTGGTGTAGTTTTAAATATAGATTGTAAGGTGGTGTTTGGGTAGTTTGTGATTTATTTAACGACCCTCAGACTTTTTATTATTGTAAAAATATATATATTTTTTTATTATCCCAATTACATTTATTTAATAAATCTTAAATAGTAGTAATAATTTGACAGTATTTTTTACCCAATTTAATCCCAACTTTTAGTGTCCCTGCTACAGTTAGCTAACCTTCAACAATCTAAAAAAGTAAATATAGTTTTTGATGTGAAATATATATACGTCGCATTACTTCTCTTGTCATTATTTTTGTTTTTATTTATTTATTTGTTTTTAAATTTGCACATCAATACTTATGGCTTCATATATGTATAAATATTACATTTAGTCATTTAGCAGACGCTTTTATCCAAAGCGACTTACAATATATATAATTAAATATATATACACACACACACATATATAAGAATACATATAGTATATGGCTTTAGGTGTAGTGTTGCTGTGTTTTAGGCTTTAGGCTTCAGGGATGAGGATGAGGATGAGGATGAGGATGCTCATCTGGGCCAATTACACACGCAAACGCGCGCGCACGACACAAAGACGTTGTTGATGTTGAACATCATCTGAATAACACCAGGCAAAATCATTCGAAACAGCTTTTAAAACAGCATTATTTCGCAGCGCCGTACACTACTGAAGCCTACTGACTGTTACCGTACTGTCAACCACTGCCCCTCGCTACAGACATCGCAAATCACGCCTGGCTAGCGGTACATCAGTGTAATACACACACACTCACCTGGGTCAGTATCAGCTGCCGGTGAATCATCACCTTCTCGTTCATATGGCCATTATCCGTCCCATATTTACCCGCACAACAGCCGCCCTTTCCTCACATTTGCCCTGTTTGCTAAGCTACCGCAGGAGATGCTACATCCTCTTTCCTGGGTACCAGGAGCCTGTAACCAATGGAAACGCTCAGTCGGATTGATTTCAGTTTTTTTTTTTTTCCCTTCCAGTTATGATCGTGGTTACGTCATTCACCCCACCCGCGCACGTACGCACATTCCGCACTGATTGTCTGGACGCTGACTGGATGTCTGGATAGCGACTGGCTGCTGATTGGTCGTCCCTATGGTGACTGGATTTGATTGGATGAATAGGCGGTTGGGCTTGAATGTGATTTGATGTTCCTCACAGGACGCAGTTAGTGAACAAGTGCTTCTGGGAAACTGTGTTTTGACGAAAAATGCTTGTTTGTGAAAAAATGGGAATGGAAAGATATGTATATGAATTTAGAAGAGATTATAATATGAATTTAGAAAGAGATTATAAATTAATTTAAAGGTTATAAATAAGCACAAATATAGATTTAGATTTAGATTTAGTAATTTAGCAGACACTTTTATCCAAAGCGTCTTACAAATGAGGACAATAGAAGCAATCAAAACAGTTAGAGGGTCAAATAAAGGTGGAACAGACGTGTTTTTAGTCGTTTCTTGAAGATGGCTAAGGACTCAGCTGCTCGGATTGAGGGCAGGTCATTCCATGAGTATACCTCTATAGTGTATATCAAATATACCTCTGTATGTGCACTAGACACTTTTATAAACCAATTTGATAATATGTTTACTTGTGTATTGCACTACAAATCATCTTGCACTCTGCACTGCTTCCCCTAAAATATCTCTTTTTCACAATTTCATGTACAGTATTTATGTAAAGTTCTTGTACAGTCTCAGATTATGTGTATGTTTAGCCAAGCTTGGAAGACAACAGCGAAGAATCGATTCTCAGAATCGACTCAATCGATTCTAGAACCAGGACTCAGAATCAATTCCAAAAATTTCAGAATCAAACAGCCCTGTGAAGAGCTATTGTCATTTTCATTTGGAAATACTGTATTGTGTATTTCTGCAGAATTTTGCAACATTCTTATTTGGCAAGATCTGGTGGATGAACATTTTGCGTAGCTTCACAGACAACAACTGACTGAATTAATTTTTTGTGTCTTAAAGGTGGGGTAAGCGAGTTTTCAAAAACGCTTTAGACAACTGATTCGGGCGAGTAGCAAAACAAACTTGTAGCCAATCAGCAGTAAGGGGCATGTCTACTCATGATGTGGAGGAGAGAGAGTGCTGCGCCGTAACAGCTAAAGTCTGTCTAGTACACTGGACGCGACAAAGCGAAAATCATTTGAAATTTGTGTCAATATGTCATGAATAGAACGCAGGCTACCAGAAATCACTTACCCCACCTTTAAATATTCAATTAGCCATGAGCAAATTAGCCAGTTAGCCATGACTACTGATAGGATTGCAAACAGTAAAGCTGCTGCTTGATAACAGGCAAAGAAATACCCAGAAACCAACAGTATAGTGACCTAATTTTTAATCAAGCCATTCTTAAAAAGAAAAGTGTCAACTACAAAGCACTAAAAGATGGTTAGTTAGTATGATGCAATGTAAAGAGAGCTGTAAAACATTATGGATTAAAAAAACAAAACAATGCTTGTGTCTTAAATGAAAACAACCACAACCAAACAGATTATTTATAATGATTTATTGTCATGCCTTAAAATGATTTTAGAGACCAAAAGAATGTACTACAGAGAATGGGTTAATTCTTAAAATACAGATCTGATGAATCACAATGATCTGATGAACAGGATGTATTTTGACAAGACAGGACGTTTACTCATTTCAGAGAAGTTTAAAAGAAGCAAATGTGTGAGTTTCATATACTGTTCAAAGAATAGGTCAGCAAACAGAGAGAAAAGATAATAGCAGGAAGCTTCCTGCCACTAATATTTTTTTTTCTCAGAATACACCAGCAATTAATGGCACTGAAATAATCAACAAGTTGACTTACTTATAGAAGTCTTTACAACAATAATTTTACACAAAACAAAAAATTAGGAGATATTTAATGGCAAAGGAACCCATAGGTTAGGATTAAGGTTACACAATACACAGTATGTTGCAATGTCACAAATACCTTTGATATCAAACACATTTTTTCGAAAGTAAAATAAATGTGAAACTTTTATATTTTAATTTTTAAAATGAAAATCTAAAAACGTTTCACATTTATTTTACTTTCAAAAAAATGTTTTTGATATCAAAGGTATTTGTGACAAAATATTTACATATGTACATCAAATTATTACAATTTTTATTATTATTAATTATTACAAAACAATTATTATCAATGCTTTTTCTAAATTACGTCAAATTGAACTCATTAGACATATACTCGTCATTAATATGCATTGAATGAAAAATTACTGAACATTACATTTTGGATTCTTAGTTTTTCTTTTATCTTGGTGCTCATACTTCTGTCCTGCTAACAATACATTTCTCAACAATTGCATTTCACACATACAAACCAGTCTTGTTAGTCCCATAAATGCTCAGTAGTCAGTGTTTGGGCTCCTGATTGATGTGGTTTTACTGGTTGTTGACAGCATGGCAACATCGATCTTCAGACACGGTATACGCTTGGACAAAAGCTTCAGAAAATGGTTTTGAAACTTCTTCCCCAAAAAAGTGTAGAAGACAGGGCTGATGCAGCAGTACAGGTAGGCAAAGTTTCGTGTGACGTACAGCGCATAGTCGAGGGCGTTTGAGCAATTGTTCTGCTCTCCAAAGGACATCTTGATGGCTTTCAACAGGATGACCACGTTGTAAGGCGTCCAGCAGATGAAGAAGGTAAAGACGATGATAAAGATGAGTTTGACCGCCCTGCACTTCTCCGTCATGCGAGTGGACATGATCCTGATGGTTATGCAGATGTAGCAGTACAGGACGATAACCAGAGGCACCAAGAAGAAGAGGAAAAACTGCTGATAATAACCAATCAGCTCCCATTTTGTGAGGAAAATCTGGTGGTAACCAGTCATTTCGCACAGCAAACCGTCTCCACCGTTCATCACATCGTGAAAAACTATATCCTTTATACTAGCCAAAATACTGAGCACCCAGATAACGGCGGATGACGCAAACGCGTACGCCGTCCTTCTGCTCTGGGCTGCAGAGATGGCGTGGACCACCGCAAGGTAGCGGTCAAAGGTCATGAGGGTGAGGAAGAGGATGGAGCTGTTGAAGCCGATGGAATAACAGCTTCCCACCAACTTGCAAAGGCCTCTGCCAAAGATCCATTCAGATTTGTGGTAGACTGCCCAGAAAGGGAGGCTAGAGGCGAAGATGAGGTCTGAAATGACGAGGTTGAGCAAGAATATGTTGGTAACCGTGCTGAGCTTCTCATATTTGTAGATGATGCACAGCACCAGTCCATTTCCAACCAAGCTCAGCAAGAAGTTAGTGTAGTAGAAGGCTGGGAGAAATGCTGCTCCGAACTGGAGCACATCGCTTTTCTTGCATAAAGCAACCTCTCCGGTTACGACTTGTCCTTCGTATCCCGTGTAATTGGATTCAGTGAAAAAGTTGTTGAGGTCATCATTATCAAAATAATCCATTGGTATCTATCTGGTTGCTGATGTCAGATTTCTGCTGCAATAAAGTCAAACAAAAGCAAACACACAATAACACAGTTAATATACATTTGGATTGAGATTCATTCTGAGCATCAAATATTGGCTTCACTCACCAATGCCTTTGGTAGAGGAGTTTGTGAAACTCTCAGCAGCCCTGGCAGAACTGATACAACCACGTTGTGGCTTACCGAGAAAACTCAGCACACATGATGAACGAGGAACTGCGAAGAGCATTTAAATCACCTCGTCAGCACTACGTGAAACCGCACCGCCTTCGCTATTTTTTGATGAATGTTTTCAAAATGTCATGGGGAAAATATTATTTTTTTTGAGAGAGAGAGAGAGAGAGAGAGAGAGAAATTACTTTTTTGAGAACGAGAAACAACTTGAGAAGTAAAATGATTATGAAAAGATTAAAATTCTAAAATATTTATTGTCATTTTAAGAATTCCAAATGTCAGCTGCACAGTGCACAAATGAAATGATAAATTCATTAAAAAAACACCACAAAATCCTACGTGCATTCATGAAAAAAAGAACATGAACAGGAAACATTAAATAATAAATAGATGTTAATTGCTGCTCTTTGCACAAATCTATCCAGTTAAAAATAGACATGCCAAAACTATACTACTAAGATTACTGCTAAAACCTACAAGAAAATTCTCAAACAATTAAAAGTATAATTAAATAATAATAATAATAATAATAATAAATGTTTTAGTAGTAAAAATGTTCCTATAAAAACTAACAAATAGCCCTTGAGCAGAAGTATTCTCAAATTTCAACATAAGCGTTCAACGTATAGCCCGTAGAATTGCTTCACATCCTGTACAGAGGTAGCTTGCCTGGGGCAGTGCAGTGGATACAGTATAGCAATTTTTCTTCAAAGGAACAATTCACCCAAAAACGAAAGTTGAAAATGAAAATTAAATTGGTCACAGGACACGAGAGAATCAAAGATGTATGTACAGTACGTGAACATGCATGATGTTTGAGAGCATTTTCACCAAGCAATGACTGAATTTTTAGTCCGTTTCTTGCACAAAGGCTTCAGAAAACTTGGAATATAATGCATGAGTTCTACTGGAGCCCAACAGCCCCTTTGGAAAAGAGCAGCCAGGACATGCATCAAAATCAATCAAAAACATGGATTCATGATTTAACACATCCAACACAAGATTCTCAAACAGGAAAACACATCACATATTTAAAGTCAAGATCATCGTTCTTTAGAGGTTATGAGTTCTTGAGGTCAAGGCTGAGCACCAGAAAGGTCCATTTGAGAGAGAAAAGACTGTACAGAATCAGTACGATCCCACTGTCCCGTTGCTAAAAGTTAGGTCCTTTCCTGAAAGGATCGTCCCGAAAGCCATAGGCTTGATAACATGAGGACGGGTCACAGACCCCCATGGGTCCCGGGGGCCCACGTTTGCCTGGGGTGCCCGGAGTGCCAGGTTTCCCTGGTGGACCAGAAGGCCCAGGATATCCCTCACCGTCATCCCCACGTGGGCCCTGCAAACCTGTGGAAGAGAAAATTTCTTCTGGACGTGCTTGCAAAAGACTAAAAAATACAACGAAGGGGATTATTATCATGCATGAATATATTTGTTTTTATACCTGCTGGACCAGGTGGACCTGGCAAACCCATTTCACCCTGTCCCTTAGCACCTTTCATGCCCACTGGGCCAATATCACCTGAAAGAAAAACATTCAAGCACCATTTTCCCTTCAGTCACTTTATAATCAAAAGATGAAATGAACTTCAAAACAGATTGACATAATCCTTCCTCACCTTTTACCCCTTCAGGTCCCTGCCTCCCAGGAGGTCCCGGGTAGCCTGGAGACCCTGCCATGCCAGGATATCCTGGGGGTCCAGATGGGCCTGTTGGGCCTGGGGGACCTGGATCGCCTGGTGGTCCTTGTTTGGTCTCACAGTGTTGGCAGCTGCTTTGGCCCATCACCTGCAGGAGCTGTGGCAGCTGGCCTGTTGAAGGAACATTTAGTGCAATGATTCTCAAACTTTTTGACTGGTATCTGGTACTAACCAAGAGTGGTAATATTTATATATATATAAAAAATAAAAAAATAGAAAAATAAAACATTTATAAATGTATTATAAAATGTACAGTAAATAATTAAAATAGTTTTGAATAACTGAATCTTCTTCAGCGTTTACACTTTTTTGCCAATGAATTTACATGACATTTTGAACTAGTTTTTATTTATATATTTTTAGTTTTCATTTTAATTTTACATTTTTAGTTTGTTTTTTTTGTCATTTTATTTGTATTTGTGTGTGTGTGTGTGTGTGTGTGTCCATATTGTTTTTATTACTTTTTATTTCAGTTTTAGTTTTAGTTATTTCAGTACAGCAAGATAAACTAAATGAAAATGAAACATTTTGTTTTTGGCATCTAGCTAAAATAAAAAAGTGAAAATAAAAAGTTTGAGTTTTAGTTCGTTTTAGTTTGAGTTCACCGTCATAACCCTGATGACGGACATTTTTCAAATGAATTTTGTCACAAATACTAATTTCCACACAATAAAATATTTTAGTGCTTGATATCACCAGAAAGATTTATGTTCATTATAAACTTGATTTCCCTGACTTTCCCATGTCTAGAAACCACACTTTTCCTCATTTATATGAGGTTTTATATAAAATAACAGATGTCGAGGAAACAAATTAAAATAAGAAACATGATGTCAGCTTACTTCTCCATGTTTTAGCTTATGTTTTAAGCTTATTTTGTAGGCCCACTAGTGGTTGAGAACCACTGATTCAGAGAGACTACAAGACAAGTCCTCAATGCGTTTGTCTTTTCTAATATGAATGAATACACTACTCACCTGTATATGCAGTTGCTAGATACAACGCTATTAGGTGTTATTTGTTATTGGTCAACTGTTGCGTTCTACAGTCAAACATTTTTGTATAACGATGCTAAGCTGTACATTTGTGCTAGTTTCACGTCTCTCATTCTCAGCTAAATTATTAATCAAACAGCAAGATAATGTACAAATGCTTCTCATTAATGTTGCAATTATCCTGACGTGATTTATTTTGGAGTAATTACCAGTCGCATGGTAATGTTACTACATGCAAGCAACAAGTGTAATTCGTGTGGATTTCATAGACTTTTAAGAAGCGTAGAGAAGATGGTGTAACATTTGTGACAGTAACGGCAATATAAAAAATAGCCGTATGCTGGCTCAACAAATGTTTTCCTCTTTTTTACAGAGAACTGAAAGTCTCCAGCTGTCTGACAGTTAGGCACATATACGCACATCATGAGTCAAATGCTATTCATCTCGAGTATCTTTGTCTTTTTCAGCAAAATAAACATGTAAAATGCATATGAAGACATAGGAACATATCTCAAATACTAGAGTTGTATATTTTCTGAAGAACATGCGAGCGATTTTCCATGCAAAAGTCACAGACATGATTTTAGGGTGTTGTGGGCGTGTTGCTAAGGTGGTCTAAGTGTTTTCATGTTTTTGGTTGCTAGAGTGACAGTTTCATGGTAAATACGATTCTACAGCGTATAATACTTCAGCTTCATTCATCGCACCAAAAGATAAACTGCAGTGCTTTACAATTATAGGACAGGAAGAGCTAAATAAACTTATCACTGCATCTAAACCAACAACATGCCTGTTAGATCCTGTACCCACTAAGAACCGCTTCTCAATATTATTAACTCATCGTTGTCTTTAGGTCACGTCCTTGCTTGGTTGGAACAGCAGCTACGCTAATTATGTCTCTATTTGTTTCTCTGTTTTTGCCACGGGATTGACATAAGCTTCAGTCTGGATCCAGAACACCTGGGAAGAGATGATGCCAACCCCTCAGAGGACCTCAGATGATGCCAACCCTGAAACTACATACAGAACTACCACATTTTGCTATTTTGCACATTTAATTATTTTATAATTGCTGTTAATAGTGTTCATCGTCTTTTTTATTACGTCTTAAATTGATTTTTCCGTACATTTCTGCCATATGTACATTAATTGACAGTCACCACTGATAAGCTACCACTAAATATTGTAGAAACTTAATTTGCTGTAAAGTTGCTTTGCAATGATTTGTATCGTGAAAAGCGCTGTACAAATAAACTTGACTTGACTTGACTAAATACAAGAAGGATGAGTTACATGACTAAATTTAATACTTCCAGTTAGGGGTTTTATCAAATTCTAACTAGGCAAACATTAAAAGTGATGCTTGCATTAGCATATTTTATCTTCGTTTTCTCATTCATCTCAACATCACTCAATTTATTTGCCACTGAAATACGACAAACTTAAGAAGAACTTACTCTGTAGCACAGAAGCACAGATCTTCAACAGCTGATCTTCTGAAGGTGCTTTGCCCTGTAACACAGTGCGTGTGTATTTGAGCAAGACCATCATCGCCATCATACATGCCCTATAAATGCTCATAAGCATCACACTCACTGGTTTCCCTGGGTATCCTGGAAGTCCTGGCTGCCCTGGTAAACCGTCTAGACCCGGAAAGCCTTGAGATCCAGGTGGCCCTGATGGACCCACATCTCCCCTTTTCCCATCAACCCCTCTGCTCCCAGGCTCCCCTGCTACACCTGGCTGAAAGGGAGTAAAATTTGGGGACCAGTATTAAAGTTTGAAAATTGGGATAAAGCTTAATAGATAGAACACAATTGGAATTTGCTAATTACATTCCAAGGGTAAACAGAGGCTCTTCTAACAATGCCTGCAGGGCTGAACTGGGCTTATACCCCTTACACATTGAAGTAAAAAAAGAGCTGTTCAATTCAGGCATCACCTCAGTCAATCTGACGCTGAATCTATTCAATATGAAGCCCTCCGTGCCAATGAAACCCCCACAGTGTCTCATCCTCTAAATACATTCGTGCTTCAACTAATGAATGAAACTCAAGCCGAGTTGGACTCCAACCACAACCCTAACATTCATAAAGAAATTGGCAAAAATCTAAAGTATAATTATGATGAAAAATTTGACCTCCAAACCAAACTCCAGTGTTATTCGGCCCTAAACAGAACCACCAAATTACTTATCAATCAAACAATTAAAAGAAAGACAAATTCTTTCAAAACATCAATTCGGTGACCACGACTTTGAAATAGAGAAAGGAAGATATAAAATATCCTTGATATGAGAGAGCAGCGATTATGCAAACACT